ATATATGCAAAGCACTTTAGAGTACAGGTAGTCCTCAACTTACTACTGTATGATTATCAATGGTTCAAAGTTACAATGGCTTCAGAAAAAATGACACATGACCTATACTCACACTTAACAGCTGCAGCAGTCCTGCAGTCATATCAAACAACCATTTGCACCACCTTGTGGTCACGCAGTTTGGGCTCTCTATTTATGACTATTTATTTATTTATATATTTGTTTATATATTTATTTATCTCTATTTATGACTGGTTGCAGCATCCTGTATTCATGTGACCTGATTTGCAATCTTTCTTTTGTCATTCCAGCAAAAAACACCCATTGGGGAAGCTGGATTTGTTTAATGATCGCCATAAAAATTATCATAACATTGATTCTGATTTGACTTACGACAATGATAGCTTGGGATGAAAATTCTGGTCCCAACTGTGGTCATAAGTTGAGGACCACCTGGGGTTTGGTATGATGAATATGTAAGTATATAATTCCACACATTTCTTTTAGTACTGTGTTTCTTTTACAAATCTCTTGAAAATATCCATTAAGCTCTACTCCAGTACTAAAAACATGCACATCTTTTTTTCCTGATTTGCATGAGACTTAGATCTCTCCAGACAATGTGAAGTCGAGGAAATAACATTCAGTTTAAACCTTTCAATTTACAAGCAAACAGCTTAATAAGCAGTTACTATTTCCCCCCCAAGTTATCTATAGTGAAATGCAGTAAAAGAACAAGGAAGAAGTTCACGAAATGGGGAAATGAATAATACAAAAGGAAAAAAAGCTTTCACCACAAAACATTCTTCACGAACCATTTTATAGCCAGAGATTCCACAGACTACAGTGAAATAAGCTCTGTGATGTAACTGAACTATCTTGGCAGTTGAGCAAGAACTGTACATTTCATTTTCATCCTGAAATGTGTTTTGATGAATCTATTTTCTTTGTATGGACTAGTATGTTATTTATATGCACTGATTAAATTTCAGTTAAGAAAAATTGGGAATACTGGTGAAACATTCAAGGAAAAATTATGCATTTTCAAATGCAAAGCTACATTAAAGCTTTTAAAGATTTTTTTTAAATCTCTCCTTTATTACTTTATAAATAATTCAAGTTGACAAACATACCTAATACTCTTTCCTCCTATTTTCCCACCACAACTCTGTGAGATGGGTTGGGCTAAGAGAGAGTGACTGGCTGAAATTCTCATTCCTAAAGCAGGACTAGAACCGTCCTGGTTTCTAGGCCAGCACCATAACCACTACAAACCCAAATTTTGATTTGTAGTCCAACCCAATGCAAATTTACTTACACATATGAGCCATTGAATTCAACAGAATTTATTTCCTCAAAGGAAGCTTAAATTTTGAATTTACTGATGAATAGTACATATAGAAGTGATATTTAATTGTATTTTAGAATTTACCAGTACCTAAGAGCACAATACAATGTAAACTCATTATTCTTCATTGATTCAGGAATAAAATGCAAAAATGAATTAACAGGAAACTTATGAGCTATGGATATCTGGCAATGAATAACTATAATTGGTTCAAGGTACTTATCATAATACAAATGTTTTTCCCTTTGTACAAAAGGAAACTAAAACTACAGGTGCACGTGGGTGAAAAAACTGAATTCAGAACATGCAATCTTAAAAATATAAAACTCAGAATTAGATTTTATTTACGACAGACTTAAATTCAAATTGTTCATTACAGAAAGTTTTTTTAAAAGTATATAATTTGCTAAAGAATGTTATCACAGACACTTCTCATGCCAGGTTATAGAACGAAAGGGACTACTCAATATGCACTCAAAGTAAAGCAATTTTGCTTTCCGTTTTTTTCATCTATTGCATGTTGCCCTCTTGAAATCAATAGAATCCAAACGTGCTTAACTTTGGTTAGAGTGTCCCAACAGCACAAAGTAAATTGCTTTCATTTCACAGGCCAGAGTTGTTTTCCACATCTTTTTGCAGCTCTTCTTTACAAAATCTCTAATGCAAGGATTGAGATTCATGCATCTTTGGACAATGATTTTTCAACCGCAAATCTCTATTGATCTCTGAACTCAGAACTTTAATTGGCAAAATAATTGGATATCCAAAAACTGTCTGCCTTTTTACATATTCTGGTGTTTTGTTATGAGAAGGCATGTGCCTGTGGATTGGACTAGTACTGGTCACATGTCTACGACTACAATTAGGACCAGAATTTCCATTACTAAGCAAAGTGGTTGTTAAGTGAGTCATGTACAATTTTATGACCTTTTTTGCCACAGATGTTTAGCAAACCCTGTAATTAAGTGAATCGGGTGATGATTAAGTGGAATCCATTGGCGTTGCTTGTTAGAAGATGGCTGTCAAGACTACAAATGGTGATCACATGACCCCATGAGCCTGCAAACTTTGTAAATATATGCTGGTTACCAAATGCCCAAATTTTGATCACATGACCATGGGGATGCTGCAGTGGTTGGTTGTAAGTCACTTTTTTTAGGGATGTTGTAATTTCAAATGAACAGTTTTAAGTCAAGGGCTATCTGTATTTGGGCAACTTCTGAATCTATGATGCATTTTGTCCCTGTTTGATACATGGATGTCTCCTGAAAAATCAATAAACTTGTTTCTCTTAGGTTCTCTTGTAAGTCCTCTATTTGAGAAGCTCTCCAAATTCAAATTCAGTTTACAAAATAATTTAAGAAAGAATAGGGCCCCTGAAGTATTTACTACTGTATAGATTGCATGTTTTCCTTTTAAAGAAGTGTGTTGAATTTGATGTTAAACTATTTTAAATACAAAATATGTAAATATCTCAAAAACACTATTATTATGGTGATGTGCAAATAGCCCCCTATACAAAGTCAGTAGCGGCATTTGATGAAATACTTCTGTAAGTATATAACAGCACAATATTTCTTAACATTTTTTCATGAAAAACAGTGATAAAGCTAAAAGACAGAATTTCTTCTGAGGCTCTACTATACCATCTGCTAATTTCCAAGCAACTATTTGTACAACCCGGTAAGAATTTCTGGCCCTGGCATTGTAATATGCCAGAAAATATGATTTCCTACAAGTTAATTTGGAAGACTGGCTGGCAGCCACATATATTTGCCACGAGGATGAGATGAAGACATATTTTAAAAATAATGTACAAACATATACAATCAAATTTTATGGTTAAGAAGAATAAATAGGAAAATAAATTAATGTTCACATTAGCATTAAGTTTTAACAAACATAGCATTATTGTTCATATTACCAAGAGCTTTGCAATTAATAGCAAGTAGTCAATAGACTAAAGAGGGTTTTTTGCTCAGTTAAATACAAGTCAAAGTACCAGAAACCTGATTTGCTTTAACATTTATTTTCAAATTATAGAAAGGTCCAAAGGACCTGGTAAAATTAGCAGCTTGCCCTTTGTCTGAGAAAAAGAACATTTTTTTAAAAAAGCAAGTAGACTCAGAATGTGAGAGGACATATATCACTGGTATTAAGTTTTACTTTTTAAAGAACACTAATAAAAACTGTAAAAATAATGTTTTGAGCTATTAATCACCAAATAAAAGCCAAGGTTTAAAACATACAAGTAAACCATGAGACATAGTGCTGGCTACCAGCTTGGCCAGCTTCAAAAAAAGGTCAGGCCAATTTATGGAAGTTATGGAGATCAATGGCTACTAGCTTTGATGGCAGTGGGGTTGCCTCTGAAGGCCATCCACTGGGGAGACAAGTGACCTTCCTCATGCAATTGGTTGGTCACTATTAGAAGTCTGCTGGACTGAATGATGACTAAATGAAGTCTGATCCAGCTGGGCACTGCTTAGGTTCTGTCCCTATGTTATGCCACAGACTATAAGCTTAACTGACTTTCTATTTTATGGCAAATCCTTAATATGGTTTAAATTCCTAAATATATAAAGTAATAGTATTTCCATATAGAAATTGTGTACAAAATAGCAATGTGCGGTGTTTTGAACCAATAAAATCAAAATATTTCATGTTTTGAGTTTGCTGATTTCCAGCTATATAGAACAAAGGAAATATACATTTGTGCATGTATGATGCTAGCGGTGTTTGCTACTACAGTCCCAATTAAATAAAACTTGGTCAAGAGCATTCTGTTTGCAAAAAGAAAATAAATAAACAAGCTCCCCTAGTCCCATATGGAACCAAACTCTGCTTTCTACAACTTTCTTTTCTTTGTACAACTACCTTCCAATATTAATCTCCAGTGACATAGTGATTAATAGCAAAAACATTAGCACTTAGATTTATATACCACTTCATAATGCTTTACAACACCCTCCAGTGTTTCTCAACCGTGACAATTTTAAGGCATATGGACTTCAACTCCCAGAATTCCACAGCCAGCATTGCTGGCTGTGGAATTCTGGGAGTTGAAGTCCACATGCCTTAAAATTGTCAAGGTTGAGAAACACTGCATCTAAGCAGTTTAGAGTCAGCATACTGCCCCCAGCAATCTGGGTCCTCATTTTACTGACCTTGGAAGGATGGAAGGCTGAGTCAAGCTTGAGCTGATCAGGATAGATCTCTAGCAGTGGGCAGAGTTAGTCTGCAATACTGCACTCTAATCATTGCACCATGATGGCTCAAATTTACCATTGATTTTACCATTCCATCACATTACAATTTTCAATTGGGCAACAACTTTACAGAAATCCAAAGAAATACTAATGGGGCACATGCTCTAAATTTCATTCTTACCACTTCTCTTACTTCCACTGTGACCAACATAATTGGACCTGTATTATTTAATTGGAACCCTATGAAGCTTACTATTGTCCTTTCCCTTTCCCTCTCCTTTCTTTCCTTTTCCTTTCATTTCCTCTCCCTCTTTCCTTTTTTAGCTGTCTCCAAATCAAGAGTTGACTCCTGGCAACTGCCTTGGTAAGTTCCTACAGTTTTCTTGGCAAGGTTTCAAAAGTGGGTTGACTTTTACGACAACCAAAGAATTAAATAAGCAGAGTACAAGACTGAACATTCTTTACTGGTTTCAATGGTATACAGTATTATACCCAGTACTGATTGCATTTTAATGTTGGGTGGGTTTTTCGACAGTACTGAATAATTTCTGGATCAAGGCTGGACCAGGTGTTTTGCAAAAGACTGACAGCTGGAGCTGGAGTAGCTGGCACTGGATGACGCTGTTCACGCTGGAGGGACATGAATGGTAAAACAGATGTTTTGTCTGTGCTTTTTAAGAGAGGTGTTACTGTGACAGTAGGTATTGTTAAGCTTCTCTCTGGAGAAAAGCTTGAACTGTTGAGAATTACTGGTGGCTGTTCTAAAATAAGAGGTTTTGCCTTCTTTGATCTGTGGCACATTAGGAAAATACAAAGAACAATGGCAATTATAATGAATAAAGCAGTCATAGAAGAAAGGGGTATGATGATGATCAACCAGTTCCTGGTGCTTGGTGTCTGAAGCCAGGAGCTCTCAGACTGTGTTTTTATTGTGGTCACAGCCCAAACAGATATGCCTCTAGTATTATCTTCATCAAACTGTCTATCTTTCTGATGCTCCCAATGGTTTTGGTCAGGCCTGAAAGTCTGTGCTGGTACATCTGTGTGTGCGCCACGATTTGGGATAAACAGATATTCATTTTCTGTAATGTAACTTTCTAAAATGTCAGCAGTAGTTAAGAAAGGCATTTTTGGAGTAAAAACCTGAACCAGTGAAGGATCATGTCGCATTATGACAAAGTGGAACTCACCAATAGCAGGCTGAATATTGTCTGCTCTAAGTATAAAGGAAAAGGAATCATTTAATACATCAGCATTTGTCATATTAGCACTGGTTTCAAGGAAAATGACACCCATGTCAATGTCTCTTTTTGTGAAGAGAACCAGGCTCTTGCTTTCAGTGTTACTCAGTGACCTCCTTGAAAGACTCCCATAAACTGGTGACATTATGACTTCAAACTGGGGATTGCTTTTTGTCAAGTTGGCTAACTGTGTAGCATCCAAATAACTTGCATTGAGCTGATAAGACATCCCGTTGAGAATGGTCACATTTAGGGCCATTTGCAAAAGAGGTTGTACTAAGATCTTCAGAACCTGTCCTGTTAGATTACTGTCTGGTGTGAACACTGCAAATTCTAACATATCACCGAAGGCAGTGAAGTCTGTCATACAGTACAACAGTCTTGCTGCATATAAATCTCTTTGGTGAAATCTAATCACCTGTTCATTCTCAATCAGAAGATTCCCATATCTAAAAGGCTTTGTTACTTCAAACATGATTTCAGGGTTCTTCCCATTTGTTGTTGCCGAAAGGTGGACATTTGTAATAACAACTCTGTCCTGTCCCTGCAGAAGAACCACTTCTGTTAAGTTAATCAATGTGATGGACAGCGGTATCACATCAAGCCGAAAGAGTTTATACTGTGGACGGTGCTGCCCGTCAGTCACACTGAAATAGAAAGCCCCTGAGAGAGGGCTCCCATCTTGTACAAACCAAACACTACCATCATTAATATCAGCTTGCGTGAAATCTTTGATTGATTCATTCAAACGAGACCACAGTGCTAAATGTCCATTTTGGGGATCAGTTATAATGGTATATTTAATCTCTTCTGGTGAGTTATCCAAATCTTCAACGTTTAGGCTATCTTGTCCTAGAACTGTTCTATCTCCTTGTAAAACATTCAAACACAGCAGTTTTGACTTTAGTTTCGGAACTTGGTCATTCACTGGTACAACAGTAATATTAAATGCCTCTTCTAAAACATCAATATTGGGTTTCACAGCAGACTTGCTTTTCTCATTTAGCCAAACAGCGAAGATAAAATGATCAGTGAGTGATTCAGAATCATCGTGCACATAGGTGATTCCAAATTTGTTAATGATATACTGGGAGAAATGGGGCTTGTCTCTAGTAATATTTCGTTCTCCCACAACAATTCTGCCATGCTGGGGCAATGCTACAACTTCATACCACACTTCAAATGCAGAACGTTGTGTCTGGGGTAATTTAGAGAGTAGGTTTGAGCCATCTAGCTTAGTTTTGTCAATTAAAACTTTGCCACCTTCCTGGACAACAGCACCTGCAAAAAGAAAAACCCTCTTTCAGTAGAAGATTTGGAGAACACATCTTAAACATAACATTGTGTTGAGACATCAAGCAACCCTACTGGAATTCTAAGGGCAAGACCATCCACTGATACTTGTGAGCAATTCCAGTGGACAGAAAATATTGCAATACATTTTTTCCTGAGTATGAGCAGAATTAGTTCTGACAGATGTTGGAAAATTACCGTTTGAATGGAAGAAAAAAAAGCTGCTCTGTTTTGCAATTGGCACACAGGAATCAGATGTGAAAGGAATATATGCAAAGACAGTCTTGTAGCAGATAGACAAGTCTTACCATTAAAGCAGCCCTTTTCCTTCCCACTGCAGTAGAAAAGTAAATTGAGTAAATCAAAACGGGAATGCAAATGGTGGCATTTCAGTGCCAGCTGGACTATTTAAAGTATACAAAGCTGGGTTGGTTCTGACAATCATTTTCACCCATGCAGACCAGGTAATGCAGATTCCAGGAGACAGGAATGAACTATCATAGTCCCATTCTACAAACAAGGTAGAGAATGCATGTAGGACATGGCTTTGGGAATCCTTAATAGGAGCTCTGCTTTGGGTTGTGTAAATGAGGAGGAGAAGAGAGGGAAGTTTAGAAGAGTCACCATCTTTCTGAGCTATAACTTGCCAGATCCTCCCTTAAAATGCCTTCAGAATTTTTTCCTAGGTGTTTTTTTTCTACACATTCCCCTGCAGGGTCCAGCCCATTTTCAATCTCAGTCTTTCTTTTCCAGCTTTTTGCCTTGTACCAAATTTGGCTATATTCTATTCAATTTTGAGAGAGTTATCCTTAACATAGATGGACAGTGTTCTGAATTCTTTTAACAAACATTTCTTTTCAATACTATATCCCATGGATAAAAAGAATTGAAAGATGAGAAAACTGGTTTCTACAGTCTACTGAGTTGCTAAATATTGCAGATTAAACTATCTAAGGAACCTCTTTAGAAAAAACAGGATTGCGGGAGTAAGTGTTTTGGCAGTGGAACGTCGGAGCTCAAGAAAATATCAATGCCTTTCTGATTAAGTAGCCTGCAAGAGGCAATCTGCATAGTATTTGTGGAGTTAAAATCAGTTTGAAATCTGTCTATTGAAAAAGCTATGAAAAAAAATCAGGTAGTCCTCAATGGGTTGTTCTTATTAATTAATTAATATATTACATGAAAATACCTCAAGCCAATTTGGATGGAACATCTATGCATACTATTCAATCAGATCCCAATCTCCAAAGGGATTGAGCCAAGTGATGTATACCTCTCATTCTATTTAATTTTTTTATATATATAAATGGCATGGTAGCTCTCTATTGAGAATGCCATGCCTTTAAGTTATCTTGCAAGCTGTGGACCATTTAGTTTTATGATAGTAAGGGCCATATTGAAGAAAGTGCATGTTCTCTAACCTGGCAATAAAACTTCTACAGCGAGGGAAGCCAGAGCAGAAAACACAAGAGAACTCCATTTACCAAAATGGTTCAGGAGACATTAATTCCAGAGATTTGAGAGCTGTGAAGGAAGCAAGTTCCAGCACGTTTTTGGCCTGAAGCTTCGTGTAAGTGACCATCAAAGTTGAGTATATTATTATTTTGCTTTTATGAATAGATTCCATTTTCAGTTAATGTACCCTACCCAGAATCTGAATGATAGAGAAGCCTATTAATATTATTAAAAAAAATAAGAAAGAAACATATGTGGTATATAAATGGAATGCAAGTGGAAAAGTTCAAATCGTTTATATCTCTGGAGAATTACATTTTATTCTTTTCTTTTAGCTCTAGTATAAAAAACACTAAAAACATAACTCAGCAAATGTGTTATGGTTCCCTTATGTACAGTTATAAAGATTAGCATTATTTAAGTGCCATTGAGTTGAGTCCAGTACTGGTGACTATATGGGTAGAGTCACTCTCTCAATCTGTCTCCAATGATAATCCATAACTCTTCCAAGAAAATACTATTAATCTTTTTTGACCTGCCATCAATTTTATCATAAGGATTATAGATCACTGTAAAATGTACATGTTATGTTTCAAACTCTGCCATGCACAATGAAACAAGGATGTTCATCCATTAAGGCCAAATTTCAGTTACAGGTTACAGTTACTTGCCTAAACTAATACTTTCCAGATTATCATTTCTATCTCTTCCAGGTGGTTTAATTCATCCTTGGGGGGGGGGGGGAAGCAGTTGAAGAGGATATGCACAAAAATGTGAGGCCTCTTCTCAGCCTTTGAGATTGAGTTTAAATTGTTGTTAAGGATGAACACTTTGGAGATATGAGCATAACTACTTATCATCTTAGAACAGTGGTTCTCAACGTTTGTGTGACGGCGACCCCCGTCACACAAACGTTCTGCGCATGTGCGGCGTGGCACGCATGCGCCGCGGCGCCATGCGCGGCACGTATGCGCAGCGGCACCCCCTGAGGGGAGAAAATGGCGGATCGCCTTCTTTGGCGACCCCCGAAAAATGGTCGATCGACCCCAAATGGGGTCACGACCCATAGGTTGAGAACCGCTGTCTTAGAATAAGGGTAGCTAAGCTAGGTTTATTATCATCCTAGTCTCCTATGTACAGTCTGAATTTGCTTTAGCACAATTTTACTCTATTTGGCCTACTCGAAAAATAGTATCCTTATTATTAATGTGCATGTCATTCTGTGTTAGAAGAAGTTGAATCAGTAGATCATATATTACTTTTATGTTTATTCTGCATCATATTCGATTTTTTATAGAGCTCCCTTTATATAAAATCCAGGAAAAAGAACACAGAAAGTACAAATTATGTATCTTTTATCAGACCAAAATATGGAAGTTGTCGATAAGTTGGTGAGGTTTCTCCAAAATATAGAACTTTGAGATAATTCCATAAAATCTAACGAGTTTCTGCAAAGATCAGATAATATGTAATTGCACATAACTTACCTGTGTTGGCAAATAGCTGACTGCTCTGATCATGTGCTCTAATTTCATAGGATATATTAATATGGAACACCTGAGGTCCCAGAGTGGCTGGTGGAAAAGAGACCGTAAATGTAAAATAATCTTGTATGTTCCAATCAGTTGATTGTTTGTCTGAATGCTCATAGATGATCAATCCTTCATCCACCTGTAAAGAGAAAAAATGGTGAACTTGCTGGCAGTGAAAACAGTTACAAATACATTTTTATTTAAAGCTTTTGTTTAGTAAGAATGAATGTTTCATATCTGAATCAAAACTTGGTAGTTGAATCTGTAACCCCGTACAAGTGTTGTAAGAACCCCGGAACTATAAAAACCTTAATTTTGTGGTTAATTGTAAGACTGCAATCACAATTATCTTGAAACAGATTTAATCTAAGAGATGTGTGCTAACAGAGCTCAGAGATTAATCTAAAATTTTGTTAAACGATCACAGCAAAAACGTATTCACCAATTATGATCATAGTTAGAGAAGGCAAGAATCTGAGAAGGAATGTTTTTGAGGTTTAGAGTACGGCTGTCAAACTTGATCACATCACGTGATGTATTGTGATGTATTGTGACTTTTTTGCTTTTGCAGAACTGGGGTGGGCATGGCCTGTGATTCATCTGGCCCGCAGGCCACCAGTTTGACATCCCTGGTTTAGAGGATGTAAAATTTGGTGTGGAAAGCAGTTATTTAACTGCATCTTCTGGGAATAATTGGAGTGTGGGGGTATTATTATTATAGTCACAAATGTTTTCTCCAGCACTTCCTGGATTGACAACATTCAATTATTATTATTATTGATCATCGCACAGTCAGTCAGATGTTCAGACTGGATTTGGCATTTTGTCTACCTAGCGAGTCCTTACCCAGGACCTAGGATAGGCAGATACAACAACAACAACAACAATAATAATAAATAACAACAAATACAAATATTTCTAAATCATTCGCTTACTTCTCCTAAATCTTTCACTCCCTTTCCAAAAGTTTAATACATTTGTTTGTTTGTATCCCACCTTCATTATTTTTGCAACTAACTCAAGGAGGCAAACGTATCCAACACATCTTCCTCCTCCTATTTTTCCCACAACAACAACCCTATTAGGTGAGTTGGGCTGAGAGAGAAGAATTGGTTCACTCAGCTGACTTTTCAAGCATTAATCTGCCAACTCCCACTCCATAGTAAGGAGGCTTTTCATAGTACTGTGTTCAACTACTGACTATTTTGAAAGCTAAAAGAAATATCTCCAAACAGTTTCACATTCCATCTGAATATTATTCTAAAAAGTTTAGGCAATTAAGAAATATTTGTAACTAAGGCATGCTTCCAGTTTCCTAAGTAAATGAACACTTACCATAGATTGTGTAAAACTTGAAATATCCTGTATGTTATTTTCAGAAAATATACGAATGAGTCTTCCAAGTTTGGGGGAATTTGCAACTGTAAAAGTAATTGTTCTGTTTTCCACCTCAACCACTTCATTGGTGACAGCCTTCAGATTGTGGGATGTAATTGGTTTCCTGGAACCTGAATAATTTGCAGAAGGGTAATAATATTGTCAATACAGTTTATGATCTTCTCCAATCTTAAATTCTGTCTGCTCTTGAGCAGTTGATTCATTCAGAAGCGGTGCAATCCTGTAAACATTCATCTAGAGGTATTTTCAACCAAATGTATAATTTCAAATGAGGGATTTCATATCTAAATATTATCCTGTACAGAGAGCTCTTTGCACCCAGATATCTAGTATACCAGAGAGAATGAGAATATACAGTATATTATGTTTATACTGTATATAACACTCTCTCTCTCTCTCTCTCTCTCTGTGTGTGTGTGTGTGTGTGTGTGTGTATCTATACACATACACACAAAGAATGAACACCTGAAGTTTTACTAATGAATTAAGGGGCACCTGAAATTCTCTTCCAAAGGCTGTTTCTCTCCGTTCTCAGTGTAGATATTGACATGCTATGCAACATGCTATTCTAATGTAGGCCTCATGTTGACAGAGGTTGTGCCCTACAATTTGAAATCATATAATATGCAGTTTCTGCACATTTGATCCAGCTCTTTATGAATGATCAAAACAACTCTCCATTATTTTACAAAGATCAAATAGGCCAGAGTTTAAAGGAATTAGATCAAGAGGAGTGTTTTTAAGCAATGTTCTTACATTCTTTCACTGAATGCAAAGTGTGAAATCAAATATGATCTAAAATCAAATAACAATACAGTTCAAAGAAACTATGAGTCATAATGCATAATTATGTATGCAGCTAACATTTACATTTGTATCTATTTGAATAAAAAGTAAATGTTCTGAACTGTATGCTCAGCAGGTAGCAATAATGGAATGGATCAAAACGGTCAAAAAGGAACTCATCTAAGCTTGGAGAAAAGACAGTACAAACAAAGAAGGTAAAAACCCAATTTCCTAACAAGGACATTTGGCAAGAATTTTTTTAAAAACAAATCAGCAATTATTACATTGTCTACAAATCCTGGTCATTTAGTTTTGCTTTTATAGGGAAAATGGTGGAACAGGCATAGCAGACTTCTCCAAATAGACAGTTTCTGAGTCTCTGGCTAGTAATTGTTGCAGTGCCAGCAATAGTATTGGCTGACTGGTCCATGTTATTTATGTCTATATTTATTTATTTGTTATTGGATTCCTTTATTTTACAGACTTTTAGGGCACTTTGATCAATATGGCTTTAAGTGGCATAACAATGAAGCAATAAAACAATAATAACCAACAGAACTCAAATACTATACCGGAATATTATAAATAAGATTACATTAATTCTGTCCCAAGTGCTGTCTCAAGTGTTATACGTTTTTTAATAGTTTCCAAATGTGAACAGTAAATATACCAATTTTATCTCTGGGAGGAAGGAATTTCATAGGAGAAGGGAGTTTTTGCAGAAATTACATGGCTCTGTCCTCTTCTGCTGTATTTCTTGGAGGTGGGGGAGAGATTCTATTTGAATCTATAACTAACCCCAAGTTATGAAAGATGTTAAAGTAGCATCTTGAATTGCACCCGGAAATGAATTAGCATTCAGTGCAGTTCCTATAGTATTGATGCTAAATAGCCATCTTAAATAGTTCTAGATTGCCCCACGGGAAGCTCTATTTTCCAGATGAACTTCAGTTCAATTCCATCTATAGCATTTTGTAGTAATCCAACTTTAAGTTAATGAGAGGATGAGTCACTATTGCCGTCTACTCTAGAAATGGCCACAAGGGGCACATCAGCCAAAAATGGTCAGCCTTCACTTGCTGTTCCAACAAGAGGTGCATACTTGTCAGACCCTCTAGACCACCTGAGGAATTCTGGGACTTGAAATCCACAAGTCTTAAAAGTGGCCAAGTTTGGAGACCCCTGCTCTAGATGAGAAAATCAACTCCTCAGGAATACTAGACCTATATTTTATAGAGATTGTTTATAAACTTGCAAATGTGATTGTGCTGTTCCTCCCTGTTCTTCTCAGTGAAATAGGGAGATGTTGCCTAAGCTGCTTCCAAATATTTCCTGGGTCTTAAAAGAATTTTTCAACCCTCTTTTCAAAACCATCTCCCTTACTTTCTATAAAACCTGAGTTTTCTCAGGGAGCATAAACCCATCAAGAGTTAAAGTTGGCGTCGTTCCAACTACAAAACTTCCACTGGTTCTCTCAAATGGTGGAAGGTACAGGTGTATTTATTTACTTATTGCCCTGTATCTCAACACACTGAATGACCACCAACAGCAGGTCCACATGGATGAAAGTCAAACTTTGTAGTAGCTCTTATAACAGTATCATAGAGTTCGACCTTTCTTTATAGGTTGGAACCGTCTGCTCATGAAATAAAGCCAGCAAAGTCGACATTTTTGTTACAGTGTCATCTATACTTAATTTCAGCTTGTTCTCTCTCTCATTCAGCCCATTTCTGACAGTAAGCAATATTCAAGGTTCTGGCCATCTAGACAGCTAAATCATACATTTTTATTTGGGCCAATTACTTTCTCTTAATTTAACCTCATAAACATGTTATGAGACTAAAAGGAAGGAAATCACACATACCAGCTTGAGTAAGATAAGCAGGCAATTATAAACAAATTGTAAGGTAGAGGTCAGAAGATTATGCATGACAGAATGTTTGCATGTTTTAAAACACTGTTTAAAAATACCAGTTCTCGATTATGAATGTGAACTTTGGGGAAAATGTTCGCATAAAGGAGCAAGACTCAGCCTTTAAAAATGTACCAGGCCTAGCTTGCTTATAATTATTTTCACTTCCTATGAACATTCTTTCAAAAGAATATGCCTTGAGGCATTTTTGTGACCAAACGTCAAAATGAGAATCAAAAGCATTAAGCCACGTGTCAAATATGAATCACAAATTGCAATTTGCCACTGCAATTTCTAAACATGTTTTTCCAGCACACCTGTATTGCTGAAATAGTATAGTTTCCTACCAGTTTTAGTCAAGAAACCACATAAAATAGGTTCACATAATTTTAAGAAATAAGCAGGACATGAACACTACCTTATCCTGACTTAGGATCAAGTTGAACATAATTGCATTTTGGAATTCCCATTATTGTTTTCTTTTTCAAAAAAAAGTAAGTTAAATATTGACCAATCACCTTGTTGTTTATCTTAGTTCATTTGAAATAAATTAAAAATACAAAGCCTTACCTGGAAAAACTTCTAATCCGTTATTATTTTCAAGACGAATAACCAAATTTCGAGCTGTGATGCTAAATATTTGACGAGGTGCAAAGTTTATGCCATCTGTAACTTGAAAACTGAAACCTCCAGACATTGATCCTAGAGAAAAGTAGGGATATATTCATATAACAACAGCAGCAATAATAATAATTAAGAAACATTTAGCAATTAGCATGCAACAAAATAAATAGATTTAATTAAATTTAAATCAAGAATGATTATTTAAATTATTTAAATCAGGAATAATTAGGTCTTCAACGCAGTCTTTTTGTACTGATAAACAACTCTGAGTCAAGGAATTCTTTCTGAATGTAGATTGAAATAAAACATTGTTCCTGTTGAACAGCAACATTTTCAATCAATATGTTATGGTATCTGTATGCACTGGTCAAGCTGACAATTGTGCTGCCTGCTTGGATTAGTAATTCAGGTTACGGTATTTGTGGTTCAGTATTTGAATTTGATTGCATTTGTTTCTTGCATTCAGACAATGTTTCAGTGAGCCAGATAAATCCCTCGGAAAAGTAATAGACATTGTCAAAAAAACCATGGGCAGTTGGAAATTGTGACTTGATTTGTATGGCCACAGTTCGCCTATGTGTGGTTCACTGTTTGCACTAATTCACCCAAATTATTCTTCTGGAATTACTATCGTTGCATACCTATGTGTGTGCATATGCAAATATTGTGCAGGGGAAAATATATTCTAGTATTAGCCATAGCTCTTACTTGTACAGTAATCACTTCATTTCATTTGCATTTTAGCAGAAAGAAAAATACTTATGCATATTTTTTATCTTGGTGTTTATCTGTCTTGCTCCTGAGTTTCTGGTATGGACTTTCATCTATTTGTTTTATTGAGCGTGGTAGGAATATATGTAGGAAAGATTTCAGACTACATTAAGTCATTTGATATTCTCTGGATTAATGAATAGGAATTTCTATTAAAATAGCTTTCTTCCTATCCCATCCACACACAAAAAAAAATAGTCATGGATATAAGAGCAATGGGGTACAAAGGAAGGAAACTTTATTTACATGCCTTTATGTCTCTGCTCCTACCCAAAGTCCAATCCAAATCTAAACTCTGCTTTCACAAAGCCTAATATTTATGAAGTTTGCTTTCTGAACATAAAACATAAAAGGATTCTTCTTGCAGCTAATATGTTATATGCTAAGTCATGGAATTACCACAAATACCATTCAATTCTATCTCTATTCAGCTGATTTATTAAAGATCCCCAAAATATTAAAAAATGTAGTTCTCATACTGTGCTTAATTCTTAGCTGGGCTATTTTTAATAGAAGCAAAAACATCATTAACTCTGGCATGAAATTCCATCAGTGCAAAATACCTCTATGGACCAATACCACTTGTCCTTCTTCAATATGAGCTTGGGTAAAATTAAGGATACTCTTGCTTGGAGAAGATTTGAGTGCCAAGTGGCCATTATTGGGAGGAGAAACAGAATACAATAATTCTGCTGGAGAAGAATCTTTATCTTCTGCCAAGAGTTCATTCGTTGTTATTTCAGTGACTGAGCCTACCCACACCTTAAAGAAAAAGAAGAAAAAACAAATGTTACTCAGATTCTGGCTTTGCTGTTAAAATATATAGTTTTGTAAACAATATATGAGCTTTGCTGATATATCTTTTTAAATAAATTTTATTGTAGAAGTTTTTCAAAAGAGTTAAAAACAGTACACATTTTGAATTAAAGAAGATTAAAGAAAAATAATCAAAAAGTTTGAAACAGAATAGGAATAGAGGAGGGAGAAGGGAAGGGGAGGGGAGGGGAGGGGAAGGAAAGGAAAGGAAAGGAAAGGAAAGGAAAGGAAAGGAAAGGGAAAGGAAAGAAATAAAAAAAAACTTTGCTGATATATTTCTCAAGGATTTCCTGTAGGTTAAGATATACAACATAGGGTCCATTGGATATTTTGGAGTATAAAAGCAACTTGCTGACTCTAAGTATTGGGAACTGGATCCAGGACTTAGAGGAAACAAGTTGCCTGCCCTGGAGCTAATCAACAAGAGTACCATATTACTGTAGTAACAATAGTTTCCAACTAAATTAGATTATTAAAATAAAGCAAACAAGCAAACAACGACTGGGCCCTTGTGTGAAAAGCTCATGAACATAGTTCAGTTCTGGCACGCAGAATAAATCTCTCATTTCAGAGGCACCTTGTTCTTTGATGTTAAGTTTACATCTGACTATGATTAATACATCAATGGATAAATTTTAAAAAAAAATCTGACAAGACTGAAATCTACCCATCCCACTGTAGAATCGACCATAAAATTCATTTCAAAAGACTTCAACTAAATATCAAACCACGTCCTGCATAAATTCATATCTAAAGAAACACAGCATGGAATTGCATAGCCTGTGAGCATACAAATATTAATGAAAGTATCTGAGATCACTGAAATATCTTTATTGTCTCATTTATCTGTCTCAATAGTATCAGTACTTCCTTGCATGTACAGATGGATCTAAAATTAAAACAAATGGGGAAATAACTGGGCTAAACTGATGTCAACACTTAGCTGCATTTTGCTGACCTGACTCAAAAGAGAGACAAACGCCAGGCTAAAAGAAACTGGAAGGGTGCCCAAAATCATAATATCTTGGACATCCCATTGCAACTTTCAGATAGCCACTGGATATTGTACATACTAAGCATGCACGTTTGCTTGCATACATACACACACAGAGAGAGGGGGGGGGAGGGAGGGAGAGAGAAAGACACACACACATACACACTAAAGTAACTTTCCAAGTTTCTCTAATGTTTTTGCTGTAACAGAATTCTTCCTCTGTATCTGAATTTCAGGACAATTCAGCAAGGTTTCCTTCCTATGTTTATATTCCATGCTTATGCCATTTATTTACAAATTCATAGACAATTCAGTTGGGTAAGATCTGAATAGATACGCATTAAGCTATCTAAATTTCTATATTTCCTGATACTCATCTATTTGCCAAACATTGGTTTGTTGGCTGGAACAAATTTGTGAACAAATTTAGGTGACTGCTAAAAGCCTTGTTCTTTTCCAATATATGCTTTATGCATATAACTAGATCTCATATCCTCAACATTGCTTATTTGGATTCCTGAGGAGCTTAGTTTACATCTAAATCTACTCACACATACAGAGTATGGTATATATTTAAATCTGTTCATACATACAAGATAAGGAAATATATCTAAAAGCATGAAAAAATAATTACTGCTACTACGGAATGTATGATAAAAAATATATTTTCCCAACAGAACAAGTAGATACAGAGATTTGGAGGTTAAGTGGAACAAAGTATGGTGAAAATGAAGCTATAAATAAGGAAAAAACATGCACAGGTAGTCTGTGCTGTTCATTTAATGATGGTTCAAAGTTATGATGGCCTCAAAAAAGGGATTTAAATCTTGTTCTTACACTTATGACCATCACACCATTCCCATGGTCATGAGATTGAAATTCAGGCATTGACAAATGCCAAATGACTTGTTCAATGTGTATGTGATGACTGTATTAGAAATTAGAAGAAATATATTACTGTTTTACTCTACAAACAGAAAGATAGTAAGAGTGAATGCAAAAGCTACTGAGGATTAGTTTGTAAGTACACCTGGAAAGTATTGAGCACAACTGTGATCAAAATGGGGAGGAGCTTGTTTATGCAAATAAGGAGTTAAATTGTAATAAAAGTGAAATTTTTGTAACTTTACTGAATGCTGTTAGGTGAAGAAACGTATATAGATGGTTTAAGAATTATAAACACTGACAGAAAAATAATGAGTTGTATGTGGCCTTGGATGAGAAACAAATATTTGTAGAAGAAGCAAAAATGGTTATGTAAACCATTGACAGTGAGAGATTGGTATATGAGGAAAAACATAGAAGAAGATTGCACTGCAAACAGGGCACTTAAGAAATGTGTATGGTAAAACATGAAAAGTTAATGTCATGAATGAATGAGTGTGAAATGAATGTAGACTGAAAACAAGACCAAGGATTGGATGCAAAACACACACATGAATTTTGCATCCTAAATTCATCACATTTGAATTGTAAGCAGTCCAGAGTTGTTTGCTGAGATAGTCAGCTATAGAAATCAAAATCAAAATCGAAATGTAAGTATGTATGTATGTCAAGGGCAAGCCTGAAAAAGACATAGTTAGATGGACCTGATGGTTATTCCCAAACCATCAGGTTAGGAATAGTTCCTCTAAAATGGAACTGTCAGAATTTTAAAAAACAAAAGGCAATATATGAACAAGATGGGAAAAGGGTGATTTGCAAGTACAGAAAGATATGGAGAATTATAGTGAAAGGTTTTGGTATAAACTAGGTTTAACTATGTTTCTTTCCTTATATCTTGGCTTTAATTTCTTTGACTTTTTCTCACTTCCTTCACACCATGTTGTTTGCCCAGAAAGGTAATAACGTGATGGGTGTCCATACTTGTATCTACAATTGATCAACAAAACTCTATTACAGTAATCTGAACATTAATAGAAAAGATAGGAGGGAATGAAGAATTCCAAGCCCATTGTAGTGGTTTTTGGCTATATTATAAATCATTTAACAACACGTTTTAACCAAAAATGCTTTTAAAACGGCTATCCATAATGGAGTCTTGTGACAGAATGAGATTACTAAATGAAGCAGAAAAAAAATGTTTGCCTTTTTAGGGGTTCTGTTTGCATTTTTTTTTCTGAATGAGAACATACATTGTAGTAGAGAATAAATGAAGCACATTACAGAAAAATAGCTTATTGCCAATTACGATGATCATAAGAACCACTGAAAGTATTGAATCAAGGTCCTATAGGCTGCATATTGTAGTTTGACTGCTCTGTCCCAGTCATGTTACTCAGACAGAGCAATATGTCAACACTGTGGATCCCACACATGCTTGTTCTTTAGAAAGATGACTCACATGCTAGGTTTCCATCATTTCCTTGCCGTTAAATTATGTCAGATTTGAAACTGCAAAAATGTTTCATGTAATGCATATATGGAAAAGGATGCTTAACAAATGTTATTCTCTTATTGAATATTTTTTCTTTAAATCAGATGCTACAGGATGTTGCCCTTCCTAAAGATTTCACTTCAAAGTTTTTCAAAGAGCCATGAAAAAAATGACATATACATGTTCTAAACAAAGTTAAATTATAAATCAAAATAATTATATCTGTGCAATCCATCCCACAACATTTAACAATGCTTTAAGGAATAAAGGAAGTACTGATTTCTCCCCCCCCCCCCAATCCTCATGGAAGGCTGCTTCTAGAAGAAATGAGTCATGCTTTGGTCTCTCTGAAACCAAGATCTGAGATGACTAAATTCCAACTGCAATGAGTAACTTCAACCCAGCCCAGACCATACATTTTCTGAAAATGATGGTGAGGTAAAGCATACTCCTCCAGCCCTGAGCTTCAGTTAAGCTGGTCCAATGGAGCACACATGCTTAGAGTATTGACTGACTCTTTCAAAATCAGCACAAGTTATACAGCCGTGCTCTTTTATGGATTACCGCAATATCATATACAGGTAGTCCTTCACTTACAACAGATCATTTAATGACCATTCAAAGTTACAACAGCACTGAAAAGAGTGACCTATGACTGTTTTCCACTCTTATGATCATTGCTGCATCTCCATAGTCACCTGATCAAAAATCAGATGCTTGGCCTCTGATCTCATATTTATGACGGTTGTAGTAAAGTCAGTGGGGAAGCCAGATTCACTTAACAATCATGTTACTAACTTAACAACTGCAATGATTCACTTAGCAACTGTGGCAAGAAAGGTAATAATATGGGGCAAAATTCACTTAACAACTAACCCACTTAGCAGCATTAATTTTGGGCTCAATTGTGGGCAAACGTCAAGGACTACCTGCAAATGTTACTTCAGTGCATTGTTTCAACAGATGAATCAAAGAGATTCAAATTGGAATATTACGACTTCAGAAGCTGATAATCAAATAAAATTGAAAAAAAAAGAATATTAGTGAGTAGAAGAAAACTTTATATACTGAATCCTTACAAAATAAAAACAGAGCTTACTTTGCCAACAGAAGATCTCAGGAAGCAGCTTGGAAAAGAAAAAAATGATTTAGCATCACCAAAATAGTGAAGATATTCACATTGTATGCTATCTTTATTATCTGTTTAAGAACACATTTTATTTTCATTTATCCTAATTTTGTCTCGCATATTCACCATTATTTCAGGGTTTCTTGATAAGGTTTGAGAACACCACATATTTGGCCCAGATGTATACACTTTTTATTTAGCTTTTCCATTTCATATTTTCATTTTAAAATATTAATATTAGCAAATCCACAGCTCTGAGATTTCTTTTCCTTTTATGCATGTTTCTAAGGATCACACTCTGGTCTTCATTACTAAAAAGAGCTCTTAGTAAGAGTTGTTTTTGATAAATGGGGAAACTTCCATAAAATTGAAAACTGATCCCCCCCTTCTGGTTATACTGCAGTACTTACGCTAAAAAATCATGCCACCTAAAAATACAACTACTTTTGCTCATTTTAAAATTTCGGGTAAAAGAGGATCTTTACTAAGAAAATAAGAGATAACTAATGTTAGTATATCTGTGACCAGGGCTTTTTTTCTCATAGAACAGAGAACGGAGTTCTGGCACCTTTTTTGGATGAAAACTTGTAGGGTAGGCAAGGCACCTTTTTTTTTTTTTTTAAAGAAAAAAAGCACTGTTTGTGACTAAAAGACATTGGATAGTTATCGCCTTAACAATTTAATGCCTGAAGATATTTTCTGAAAAGTAACTTCAAAATACCTACCCATCAGGTAAATAGATATAAAAAGAAAAAGCCAGTAAGAATTTGTTTCCTACATACAAACCCAAAATCACCAATGAGCTAGTTAATCCTATTACCCAGTGGTGGCGAACCTATGGCACGCGTGCCAGAGGCGGCACTCAGAGCCCTCTCTGTGGGCACACACGTCATGCCCCAGAGATGGCAACCATCCTCTTCAACCAGCTGCCTGCTAACTTGCTGAGGTCCCAGGTGGCCGGATGCATCCCAGCAACCATGCACTTGCTGGCCTCTGTGTGTGGGGACTGATGGTGTCAGGCAGCAGCTGCCCCAGCCCCTACCTCGCTTTGCCCTGCGACAATAGCACCCCCTCCCTGTTTCGCCTTGCCTTGCCTTACTCTGCAGGATGAGCCTCCTGTCCACCGCCCCACCCGCCAGAGACCCCCTGCATCTCCCCCAACCCTGCGTGGCCCCCACAGGCATCCCTCCCTAGGAGCAACATTGAGCTGGCCATGCCCACCCTGGCCACACCCACCCATCTGCCATGCCCACCGTAGCCACACCCAGTGGGCCATGCCCACCCGGTGATACATAAGTGGGATTTGGGTTGCAGTTTGGGCACTCGGTCTCTAAAAGGTTCACCATCACTGCTATAACCCATAAAAAACGAACTTAATGACTGTTAATATTGTCCTCTATTAGTCCCATCTAGTAAGGACAAGGATTATGGGATTTGGCTGAGCCATAGACACTTCAAGCTATCAGAAAGCAATCAGTGGAATTTGGAAAGAATTCCAGAGGAAAGTTATACAAAATGGATCAAAAACTCCTATGACAATTAGAAGGGAAAGAGAGCAGTGTAAAAAAGAATGAAAAAAGTAGTGCTAAGGACTTTGCAATTTAAAAAAGGGGAGAGGGAAAAGAACATTTACGTTAAAAATTGATGTGCAATTTTAGTTACTGTGGTTTATGTATAGGTGATGTGGAGATGACATAGCAATGTGGAAATCTGCTCTCATTCCATTTGTACCTTCTCATTCAGAACTCATTCAAGGAATCTATTTGATTGAAGTTATTTGCAAATGTTTGAAAGTTCCAAATAGGCTCTAAATTTTATGCACCTGGGTTTTTTTTTAAAGAGAGGTAATGAACACTCCATTGCTGGAGGTCTTCAAGAAAAGATTGGACAACCATTTGTTCAGGATGCAATAAAGTCTCCTGCCTTGGGCAGGAGATTGGACTAGAAGGCCTCCAAGGTCTTTTTCAGCCCTATCATTCTATGAATTGATTGAATTACCAATCAAGGGGCAGTTCTTGAATATAATTAGGGGATGCAACATTCCCAGAAAAATCAACTTTCAAACATTCTAGTGTAGAAATGGAGAGATAATTCTGCCCCTTTGCCTTGTTCAAATTAATAATTTTTCATCATTTAATCCTGTTATTAAATTGTTTTAAACAAGACCAATTACATGCTAGCAATAAACAGCACAGAATTGGGATGTGAGCATTAAAAATAAATCAAGGATACAATGAAGATGCATTGCTGTCTGCTGTCCTCGGGATTTCTTTTAAATTCAACAGTAGTAAAAGTGAAAAACTGTCCAGAAGTTTTAAACACTGGTATAACCTCTAGAGGGAGCACATTTGTTGCAGTGGCATCAGGCCAGAAACCAGGATACTGTGATTTCTACTGGTAGTACCACCTTTAGGGACAAATTCATCTGGCCTTGGACCACTCACACTCTTTCAGCCCTAGGAAGGAGGCAATGGCAAAACCACTTCTGAAAAAACTTGCCAAGAAAACTGCAGGAATTTGTCCAGGTAGTCTCTGAGATTTGGGCATGCATAACTGAATGGAAAAAAATATACCCTAGAACAGCAGTTCTCACAATGTGATCTCTGGATCCTTCGGAGTCCCTGAGAAGCTTTCAAGGGGTCTACAAACTCAAATATTTTTAAAATTCTCAGTTTCCATTTCTAATATAGTTAATATTGATAGATGTAAAGCAAAGTTCTATGAATTTAAAGTACCTTTACCTGTTTTCTGATAAATTTAGTCAATGCCACTCCAAGAAAATAACAGTTTGTAATTCACCCATATTACGATAACTCAACTATAATCCCAATTAACTCCTCCCATTTTAGAATATCTTCTTCCAGTACTTTGGAACCCCTCAATCATTTTTAAAAATGAAGGGGTCCTGAGATTAAAATGTTTGAGAACTGCTGTTCTAGATGGCTATTCATATAGTACAGATAACCCAGAGACAAGTACTTTTTTTCATATATATGAGATACTTCTAGTAATGTGCTGATTATCTTTGTGCTTCTATTTGCACTTCACCTGTTACAAACAGAAGACTGTCATGTATAACCAGTTAAACATTTAGATCTCAAATTCCTCAGGACGTACCCGGAGTGCTATATTTCTCTTTATGATGGGTGCTTCATCATTTACTGGTGTAATAGTCACAAATATGATCTGAGGCAAGCTTTGCTTCCATAGTTGTGTGCAGTTTGCAACAATGGTAAAATTATCAAGCATCTGTTCACTGTCATCATGAACATAGAAGATCAACCCGTGTTCTACCTGAAACAGGAAAGTCACAAAATTAAAAATGCATCCACTTTAAAAATTAAACCATAAGCATGTAGTCTCTCCAGTTGTTGAACTAGCGTTACTTAATCTCAACACATTTTCTCCTTGAATTACCTGCTATATTATATATAATAATGGGGACTATATAGTTTTCTAAAAATAGAGAGGTTCTTGATGTCTGAAGTCCAAAAATAGGAACGCTCAAGAAGTTTTAATTGTTCTCTGATATATGATTTCAAGATCTAATTATAAAATCAAAGCCAGAAATGTATCTAGAATAACTTTACCTGTTTTCTGGTAAATTTAGTCAATACCATTCCAAAAAAATGAGAGTTTGCAATTTGCCCATGTTTTGGTGGCTCAACTAGATCAAAGTCACAATTAACTTCTTCAAAGTGGCTATTGGAAATTTTTAGAATATCTTCTTTAAGGACTTTTGAACCGCCTTCAGCAACTGTGAAGTTGTGTACTTCTAGTGGGATCAGCTTTGGAATGATGGCCACAGTCATTCCTATTCCACTGACTGTCTGGATGCCATTGGTTACATCCAAGGAAAAGTGGTCTTGGAGTTGGTTGGAGATGGTCTGTATGTATTGGATAATGCCATCATTGATGTCTTGTTGAGTAAATGACAAAACTGGATTTTCTTCTGCTCCAAGGTAGTTTTCTTTTGATGTAAACTTCCAAAGATAGCCATAGACTGGAGATGATCTTACTTTGAATTCTATCTCTGATGGCAAGCTGTTTTCATGCACAGCCTTAAAAAAATATATAAGATCAGGTCATTGGTAACATAAAGATGAGTGCAGTTTTTTTAAATACTGTATAGCTTTTTATATTTAATCTGTAATAACAACGCAATGAATATTCTGATGGTTTATCTGTGTCCCTATGGGTATAGATGCTTTCCAAATTCTTTCAATCTCTCTGTCTATCTGCCCATGTGTCTTTTTTGCATGTCCCACCTTGCATTCTGTGACACAATTACCAAAAATTAGCAGCATGGTTTGTTATCTTGAGATGGGAAGCACACAAAACCTTTACTATTAAATAAGGATTTTTAAATAAATTTAAAAGAATTCTTGATTTTCTCTGAGTTTGCTTACAAATATTTCATTACCCAATTAAGTAATATGATAAGAGCAAGTGAGTATGAAGTTTCCTGCTTATTTCCTCATTGGAAGTTGATTAATTAAAGCATTGTTTTCTGTCTGATTGTTTCTGCCTTATTAATCAAACACATAAATATATTTATATGCAACTCCTTAGATTGAAGAATCTCAAAAATAGCTTTCAATAAAATCAGCAGTAAAGTAAATAATACATTAATACATTAAACAACATAAAATAATTTCAGTATAGTAAAAGATATTCATTAAACAGGTTAAGGAAAAGATAATACACAGACACTCTTCCAATGTTCAGAAGGCTTGGATGAAGAAATTTACTGAAATCAAGGAAACATAATTCTGTACAAAAAATATTTAAAACATTTGCTATAAATTACTAGATAACTTCATCTTACCAGCAATTTTCCATTACTGATTTGAACAGGATTCCCTTCTTCAACCAAAAGGCTGTGGTTATGCAGGACCACTGGTGGATGCTGATGATTTTCCAAATATATCTGAATGTTCATTTCAACATCCAAACGGAGGCCTTTAGCATAAACAGTGAAATTCAATGTGTCAATCAAATTATTGCTATCATCATGTTTATAAGTCACATGTTCCATTTTGAGATCATGCTGAGTAAAAGTGGCCAGCGCTAAATTATTAACAAAGATTTGTCCATACTTCGGGGAGAAAAATATCTCAAATCTAATTTCATGATCACTTCTAATATCCTGATTTGTGGTAGCACTCAAGTTAGTGGTGGTAATCACTGCTTCTTTTCCTTTTTGGATCAATAATCCTGTATTGTTTGCTAGGAGGACATATGGTTCAGAAGCACTTACTTCTAACAGTGATGACGTATAATGTTTTCCATCAGTTACAAATAGCACAAAACGACCATAACTGGCACCTTGATGAACAAAGAGGACTTGCTTTTGCATAAGGTCCTCTTGCTTGAACTGATACAGTCTATGTGATGTTTCATTGACAAGAACCAAGTCTCCATTAGGAATGCCACGCCTGGTGTATAACAACTGATTATCATCAAAATCTGTATCAGGATCATGATAGCAAAGATCATCCAAAGTCAACAGTTTCCTTCCATTCTTAACAACATGAAATATCTTATCTACCACTCGTACTGGTTTTTCATCATTTTTCAGATGGATAGAAATATTAAATTTGATCCCTACTGATAATGGGAACTCTTTTTCTAAAGCCTCTTCTCCAAATTTTATGGCAGTTGCAGCGATATGAATTTCATCATACTGTGTCTCTGAGTTATCATGTATATACATAAGACGTTCTCCATATATATCCTGATTAGTGAAACTACTAAGATTGTTGTTACTTTCTGGGGAATCAGAAAAATTAATAAGCATTAATTTCCCATGTTGAGGACTTTTTGTAACCTTATACTCAAAAGTCATATTACTGAAGGTCTGCACAAATAATTCTGATTTTGTTATCAGTGATCCTTCACCTTCAGTAACAGTAAGACCATTGTTTATCAAAATGATGTTTTGTGGGTTTGTTTTGATTTTAATTTTGAAATCATAGATATTTGATACCACATACTGAGTACTAATGAAGAATCGAAATGAATCCAGACTTTCTTCATGGGACTTCCTGTATAATTGATACTCTACTTTACAATCAGAAATATTCTGTTGGCTGAAGCTGGAATTTATTTGCAATGGGACATTATCAAGCAGAATTCTTCCTTTCTCAGGTAAGGATTGCAGCTTGTAAAGAAATTCATTTTCTGACAGATCCATCTGTGGTATCATCACAAGAAGATTACTAGAATTAAGATGCTCTCTCTCTGATTTATCAATAACTAATGGCGCATATTTCAGTAAATTATAAGTCAGCCATTTTACTCTAACAGCAAACAGAAACTCTTGGCTTATATTGCTACCAATGATAATTTTAAATTTAAAATGTTCATGGACATTATCTTGCTGAATTGCTTTGAAGGTAGAAAGATATCTCACACGACCACGTTCAATGGATCGTTGAGAAAAAGAATTTGTTTTTTTCCATTCTCCACCAGTATGCCTTCTCTGAATTTCTCCAAAAAAAGGTTCTTCTGTGATTTCATATTTTATTTCCAACTCTTGTTGAAAAGCAATTATTTCTGTGGCCAAATGGCTGAGTGTTATCAACACTGTGGTGCCTTGTATCACATCAACTCCTGTGTTGTTGACTAATTTATAATCCAGGGGTACAGCCATGACACGCAACACGACTGTGTTGCTAACTTTCTCCCCATCGCTTGCTCGCAGAACAATCCTGGAATTCTGAATTCCAGTGTGGACAAAGAAAACATTACCGTGCTGTAAATCCTCATAGGAAAAGGTAGTAATTGTTTTTCCAGGAGTTTTGGAATTTTCTAGAAAACCTGCATCTGCATTTGAATTTCCAAGGACTGTAATACTAAGATCTGCAGCACTTGTGTCGTTGTCCACAATATTTATGGAATCTATACTCAGGCATTTCTTGGAGTATTCTAAGAGAGGAAATAAGTTTCCATTTGGAAATATAAGTTCTGGAGCATCATTTATTGGTCTCACTGTAATAGTAAACATATGTTCATCATTTCCTTGGAAATATGGAGGCATCTTCCTTTTACTGCTTGTAGAAACAGAGAAAGTGAAATAATCATAGTTTTCTTCAGAACCATCATGAACATATAAAACTTTGCCTTGCCACAAATCTAGCATAGTAAATGTGAAGTCTTCTTGCTTTGACACAACATTCAACCTCAACTGGCCATAAGAAGGGGGATGTTTAATTCTAAAAATAATTTGCGACTGACGAATCCCCAGTGCTTTGAAGTCCACGCTGACTTTAATGTGCTTAGATCCAAGAAATGCTTGCCCACCTTCTGGCACAATTAAGTTGTTGACAAACAAAAAATGGTCATGACTTTCTTTCTTCAGTAGTTTAGGAGTCACAGTACCAACAACAGCCTGCTTTTCGGTAGGTGTTGTGCATCCTACTGAAATATCCTTAGTCACTAGAACATTTTTCAAGGATTTTTTTTGGGAATCGATTATCAAATCTTTCAAGCAGCCTCTAAAAGATCCGCCTTCTCCATATCTCCCAGAAACTGAAGCTAACCCTTGTTTTAGCACTTCTGCACGGAGTGCATCATTTATTCCACCGACATATAAGGCCCCTTTAAGAACAGGAAGCCTACTATGAGAAGGCAATGGAGTTTGCACAGTTTTCTTTTCTAGAGTGAGTTCGACATATTTTATGGAAAATTTTAGTCTGACAACATGCCACTGGTTGTCATTGACGGGACTAAGAGAAGAAAGTTCAAGTCTATTTTTACCCATTCTAATGTGAGCTTTAATGAGACCATTTTCAATTTCCATTGCAACAAAGTCTCCCAAGGGACCAGAACTGTAGAGCAGCAATCCCCTCTGAGCTGTAGTTTGCACTGAATATTCCAAGATGCCTCCTGCTTGGACATTCCAAAGAGGAAATGAAACATAGGATTTGGAATTAAAAAAATTTATGGGTTCTTCTTCCCCTGCAAAAAATTCATTGCTGCAGCTCAGTGATACTTCATGAATATTTTTATTTCTTGCAGACGATCTCAGGGACGTTAAGATATCATGGTTGTTAAATATCACATCGTTAATACATCCTCGGAAATTAACTGGTGTATTGTTAAGATAGTAGACATTAAGGTTACCTCTCCCACCTATATAGAGACCATATTCAATGTTTAGTTCAAATACTAAGAAATCTGGCACTATTGCACTAGTCTGATAATTTTTATCGATCACTAGAGTAATATTTTCTCTTTCATGATGAATTTCAAGAAGATGCCAATCTAAATCATCAACTTGTGAGTGTAATTGGGAATGAAGGATCTGTTCATTTGTGTGAAAGTTGATCCTCACCTGTAAAAGAGAACTGAGTTTGAATCATCCAAGAAAAACAATGACAATATGTTCAAAGTTGTTCAAAATAATTGCATATACATTTCTTCAACCAAATTGAACAGAGAACAGAGAAAACGTAAAATAAAACTCTGAATGCAGAATAAACTATTATTTTCCATTTCACCCAAACTCAAAAAGTGGTATAATGTTAGTTTAAAAAAACTAGGACCAAACCCCAGTTTGAGGATTTTAAACCATGGTTTGTCAAATAAGTCACAATTTTCTTATTCATACATAATACTAAACCATTATAGCAAGGTTGATACATCAAAGTAAACTCCCAATAATAAAACAAATAGGCAGTAAGCAAAATGATCAGATCCATAATCATATGTACTCCAGATAGGTAATCTGTGCAACAATCACTTAGTTCAGGTGTGATTTTAGTTTGTTCAAAACCAAAATGGAAGACGTGTCTAACCATTAGTTAGTTAGGTCTAACTAATGCAGCCATACTAAATTATAATGTGAACACTAAAGTTATATTAATATGATAATATCTAAAATTACAACAAAGTAATATATAAAATTTAAATGAATTACAGTTAAATAGAAAACATTGTGGAAAATTTACTTATCAGGGTCTGATGGATGTTCTGGGCAGCTGCACAAAACTTTTTGCACTGTAAAAAAAGGCAGTTCATGAACAGCATCCAGGCATGGGCTAAATCTGGGAAACCAGGTTATCTACTAATCAAAGGTAGGATGAATCTGGTTCAAATGTCTCTATAAAAGCAGCAATGAAGAAGAAAATGTTCTGTAGTTTCCATCTCTCTGGAATCACAAGGACAGACCCTTTCAGGCAATGATACTTTTTAAATATTTACCACCCAATACTGCAGAGGGCAGAGCATGGTATTGGGCAAGAGAGAAAGCTGGATATTTCTAGTTAGCAATTGTGCAAATATATTTAATGTGTACTGGTACAAGACGACAGGAGCCTTTCCTAGATCTGCTTGCCAGTCCCTGTCCTTTATCCTTTGCTACCAGATTTGTTTCACCTGAATATATTCCATTTTAAGACCTGAAGAGGGAGAGTAGCCTAGATTTTAAAAAAATAGATACAACAGCCTTGGCCCACGTAGATTGAAAATTATCCTGAAGAACTAAAGGTGCTAGTCCTTGAAGACAGAATTTAAGCTTTAACCAAAGGTTTATAGAAGCTAGACACATTCATGATTCAACTTTTATCATGCCTGTCTCCAGTTCTAGATATGTGTTTGAGACACAGCAAGATACCTGGAGGGCTATTCCAATGAATTAGGTTGTACCCTCTCCAATTGAAGCAAGAAACTGGGGAGTCAACCACAGTCCAACAGAAAAGCTGGGTTAACAGCTTAAATCTGAAAAAACTTAAGCACAGCTTGTATATAATACCCTACCTTAAATCCCAAAAATTTGAAGATAGCATTGGCAGATCTTTGTCCAGTAGCAGCAGTGTATTCAAAATGGGCTTTTCTCAAGACAATGGAATGCATGACTAATCTTAAACACATAAATCTAGTCATTTGTTCTATTCTATGGGCATTAATGCTCCATAAGCAGAGCTTCAGGGTTTTTGGGAAAAGCCATAATCTTGATTTTCTGATGATCATTGTTGCAGTATTGGACCAAAGTTCTCAGAGCTTTTTTAAAGCTTATTAGTGTTCCGAAAAGAACTACAGGGTCATCTGTGCATAGCAGCAGGGCAATGATGTAATCTCCTGGTTTATGGGGACAACATAGCAAAGTTAAACAAAATGAGGCTTGCATGAACCATAAATATATTTAGCTGTTAAAAAGAGAGTAGGAGAAGGATCAGATCTAGCATAAATTACATGTGCATATTTTATAATCTTACCTGTATATTTCCAGAATTTAATTCCACCAAAAAATAATCTTCCTTTCCAGAAGCAAGAAAAAGCAATCCATCAGGTCTATTTGTCTGAAAACGTAATCTCAGTGATATTTCATACACTGCTTCAGCAACATTTAATTGTATGTAGCTTTCGCCATAAAATGATGCTAAAAGGCAAAAAAAGTTATTGTAACTTCATGATACAAAATAGTTCATCAGCATTACATAAATAAAGGATTTGGTGACAGAGGCAACCATAGAAAATACTTTCAACCCTCTTGTGTCTTATATGAGGTTCTTATAGCTACCTGGATTGGCTCTTATATTACAATTCAAAGCCTTGTGATTGAGATCCATTGGTTTATTGAAGAGCTCCAGGAGATGAGAAGCATCACAAGACATGCCTGAAACATCTTTGGAGGAAGACTAGAAATGAGTCTGATCAATTCAGGTGAGTATTATACCAGGGATTACCTTGTAGTGATAAGAGTGGCAAAACATTAATTTTTCTCTGCCCTTACTGATCTGTCAATAGCTGTTCAGCAGCCTTGTTTAGGATATTCTAATCCTTGTTGAACAGAGAGGGCCCCCAAGGCTTTTGTGAGGAATGTTCAGGCTATCTGGAAGATAAAGTCACTCAGACTTGCTGACCTGGATGCTGACTGGAAAAGCCTAGCCAAGGTGCCTGTAATTAGGACTTGTGGTGTGATTATCAGTTTGAACCATGATTCCTCAGGAAGTGGACAGCCAGACCCCTCTGGATCATTAAAGTAGCCAGAGAAGTGACTTGCAGTTGAGTCCATCCTGTAAGTGTGGCCTCTTTGAGGGAGAAAGTGGTACTCCTGCTTAAGGAGATAATGTTGCATCTCCTCAAGAAGTCATCCTTGGACCCTATAATTTTAGATAATTATCCTCCTGTCTCTAACATTCCTTTTTAGGGAAGACTGTAGAAAAGGTGGTCAGACTGCAAATGATAAGAATCTTGGAAGTTATGGATTATGCAGACTCATCTCAATCAGTTTTCTGGCCAAAATTTAGTATGGAGACAGTCTTGCTTATGTTTGTAGATTACCTGTGGCACAGCTAGGATGGATGTGGTGCTTCTTGACCTCTTAGTAGCTTTTGATACTATCAACCACAGTATTCTTCAGAGCTGGCTCTGGGCCTTGGAGATAGGGTTTTAAAGTGATTGTCTTCTTTTCTGCAGGGCCAGTTTCAGTCAGTATTGATTGATGGGAGAGATGTCACACTTTAGTCCCCTCTTCTGTGGGATGTCACAGAGGTTAAATCTTTCTCCCCTTTTATCAACATCTACCTGAATCTTCTGGATGAGGACTACCAATTTGGGGTTCAGTATTATGAGTATGGTCTCAGGATGGCCAAGTGAGGCTAATGAGATTTCCTAGAGGATGCAGGGTTTGTGGGTTTGGATGGGAGAAGTCATCTCTGCCTCAGACCTACAAAGACCATCTGGATTTGAACATTTAACCTTGGATGGGATAGCATTTCCCCACTGAAGAACAGTAAATAACCTGGACTCTTCCTGGACTCACAATTCTTGCTCTTGAGTAGGAAACAGTTGTGGCCAGGAAAGCCTTTGCATAGCTTCATCTGGTGCACCAGATGCAACGTTTCTTAGATCAGGAGATCTTTCAGACAGACACTTATGCCATAATTAACTTGTGGCTCAACTACTACAACACAGTATGCATGGAGCAGTGAATACAGCAGTAGGTATTCCTCAATATGCCTATGCAACACCTCTGTTCTGTAAGCTGGGTTGCCACTTGCCACTTTGCTTCTGGATGTGATTCAAAATGCTGATTATGATCTATAAAATCCTGCAAAGCCCCCATATGCATGGCTTCTCTGTCACATTGCCTGCCTCTGGAATGAGGTTCCTCCCGAGATCTGACTGATAGCATTCCAGAAACCTGAAAGACCTGGCTGTTTTTCCAGGCTTTAGGCTAGAGTGGTGGGAGCCATTATGTATGTTGCTGTTGGCCAGATTCGCCATCTTGCTCAATGTTTTTTATCTGGATTGTACATTGTTTGTTTTTATTCTGTGAGCTGACCAGAGTCAATAGGAATTAGGTACTGTTCAAGTCAAATAAATATTTCCCCTGCACATTTCATACTTAACTCATGACACTGTTTTCAAGCAGCCCAATTTACCCACTTGCATGTGCACCTACATCCCACGTTTCAGTCCTATTCATGAGAAGGCAAACATATAAATTGGGCTAAATAGGTTACAATGTTACCAGCCATAAGACCTAAATGTGTTTTTCAGACCATCACTTGGTCTGCTGAGAGATAAGGGAAGGCTGCTCTTATTTTCCTTTTATTTCTTTTTAACAGAATCAGTCTGGCCATTAGAAGAAAAAAATGAAACATATAATAGAGTTTTTTGTCTGAACATACATCATCAAGGATTTTTGTCCAAGTAATACCGGGCTGTCTTTTGTTCAGGAAATCTACAACATACCATGAGATTGCTGCACCAAAACACCTATTGTGGAGCACTGCACTGCATTTTTAAATGTGGGGGTGGGATCACTTTAAAGCTTAAGGGACAAAGACAGAGCCTCAAAGTAAGGTTCAAATCCTGTGACTTTATGGAGATATTCATGTAGCTTTCTTGGTAATGCTGAAGTATCTTCCTGGGATGCTATTCTGATTTGCCTGTTTACCTTCCCACCCCCACCCCGCAGTTAGTCTACATCCAAATTTAATCCTGATTAGGATTTTTGTTTTTTGGAGATCAGACAAAGATAGCTAGGTGCTGCCAAACAACTGGGTCATTTTAATACTAAAAATGGACACACCACCCTAACACCCCCCCCCAAAAAAACCTTCATACATTCTCTCCTTTAGGCTCTTTTAGCCTGATGAAAACTTTTGTATCCATATGGTTCAACAAAGATTTTTGAAAAGTATAGCTCTAACCCTCCCCTAAAAGGCTGCCAATTACTTTCATTCTGAAATAAAATAATGTTCAACCTTTTTCTAAACACGAGCATCAGTTTTCAGAATCTGTGAGACTGTAGAAAAGATTGAATGAGTAGTTGTGGGTGGTGGTGACAGTGCTGACAATGACATTATGTATCTGAAGATCTACGACAATGCTTTATCTTGAAAAAACTACGACAATGCTTTATCTTGAAAAAGGAAGAGAATGTACCAAAACAAGATTTAGGAATGAAAAAACTCTTTGAAGTGAGAACAGAAATATGCTAAAAAAAATTGATCTTGTTATGAGATTTGTAAAGTATATCTGTCTATGCATATAAAATAGAGGTCATAAACTAAATATTTCACAATCCTTATATTGCCATTCCTCCATTGAGTTCCAGCACAAGTAATGGTTTTTATGCAAATAATAATAATAATAATAATAATAATAATAATAATAATAATAATAATAAAAAGTTGGAAGGGACCTTGGAGGTCATCTAGTCCAAGCCCCTGCTCAGGCAGGAAATCCTATACCATTTCAGACAAATGGCTGTCCAGTGTCTTCTTAAAAACTTCCAGTGTTGGAGCATTCACCACTTCTGGAGGCAGGTTGTTCCACTGGTTAATTGTTCTAATTGTCAGAAAATTTCTCCTTAGTTCTACCGTAGTGGCCAAAATTGTGGAAACCTTTTGGGAAAAGTGTATTTTTGAGGTTTGATAGCTAATAACACTTTTTATTTGGAGTAGTACCATAAAATTATATATCAATGGAAAGATAATTTAATCAAGAATGTGATGCAACAAAGTTTGTTCAATTATCTGTACTGTATTCTATGAAAAGTTATAGCCAAATAACCAGAAAAAGGAAGCACAACTTGCTTAGGTTGATATCAGGTAGCTTTCCTTCATCTGATTGTAGCCAATGAGTATGAGTGTTTAGAGAGCCAATCAGGTGTCATCTTGTTTTGGCAATGAGTCAATCAGATCACAGTAGGATTCAGTTATTGATGTCATGTATTGAAGCTGAGAAGACATTTGTCAGCGTATTATGTGATCACTATCAAGTTGGTTGGGTTTTTGTTTTCCTTACATTTAGTGAGTTTGTAAAACATAATAAAATTAAAGTAATGGTGCAAAGAATTGACTGGTTGCCCAGAAAGCAATGTAAAATAATATTATTAAGTGAACAGGGCTACAGTTATAAAGAAATTAGAAAAAAAATGGTGGAAACTTAACCAAAGGTGACATTTCTACTGTACACTTTTCCCAAAAGGTTTCCACAATTTTGGCCACTACTGAAGGTTGCTTCTCTCTTTGGTTAGTTTCTATCTGTTACTTCTTGTTCTGCCTTCAGGCACTTTGGAGAATAGTTTGACTCTCTCTTCTTTGTGGCAACCCCTTGGAACACTGCTATCATGTCACCCCTCGTCCTTCTCTTCATTAAACTAGACATACCCAATTCCAGCAACCATTCCTTATATGTTTTAGCCTCCAGTCCCCTATCATCTTTGTTGCTCTTCTCTGTACTCTTTCTAGAGTCTCAACATCTTTTTTACATTATGGTGATCAAAACTGGATGCAGTATTCCAAGTGTGACCTTACCAAGGCATTGTAAAGTGGTATTAACACTTCACGTGATCTTGAGTCTATCCCTCTGTTAATGCAGCCTAGCACTGTGTTGACTTTTTTGGCAGCTGCAGCACACTGCTGACCCATATTTAAGTGATTGTCTACTAGGACTCCAAGATCCCTCTCACGGTTGCTACTATTAAGCAAGGTACCACCTATACTACACGTGTGCATTCGGTTTTTCTTGCCTAAATGTATTTTATTAGACAGCGCCCAATGTTCAAGTCTGTCAAGATCCTTCTGTATCTTAAGCCTATCTTCTGGAGTGTTGGCTATTCCTGCCAGCTTAGTGTCGTCTTCAATTTTTTTTTAATTAATTTTTATTCATAATACAATTAAAACAACAGTGGACAAACATGACATTCCAGAATGAATTTTCCTATCAGTTCCTATCATGGTACAAAAGTTTAATCCATCGTTCTTAACCTCTATATAAGCCTCATCTTCTATACAATACAATTATATATACAATTATATGTACAGTTATGTATATCTTTTAATTCTACCATTAACTTGAAGTCCGAGCAGTTCTTAATTCATACCAATGGTAAAATTTGCCCCAGATTTCGAAGTATTCATG